GGAAAACACTAGTGAGTAATATTGCATTTCTGTTGTATGTTCTTTTATGGGTGCATACAAATATTCTGATACGGTTAAAGGTCATTTATTTCTGGGTGCTAGGGTCTCCAAAGAATTGCTTTCATACATATCTAAGCTTATGCTATTACAAAGGGAAAAAAAATCAATTGCTTCTCTTTAACAAATAGGCTGAAGCACAATACGCCATGTGATTATGGCTTAACACATTTCCTGAAGGCACTTGATCTTTTTCCAGCTTTCTGCAGTCAAGAGCCAGAATAATGTTATATTTTTCTTCCCAATTGATTGCTTTGTACAACTCAGCTGGAATGTTTGGCTGAGTTATTTATTGACTGGAAAGTACATATACTAACTGTATTTTCTTCTACAAATGCCAGGGATAATTTTATTGTATTTTATTTTAGTGTTTAACCTAATCATCTTCTGGTTTCATGTTTTTGATCATGGCAATTATCTATACTTGTCAATGAGATCGAAGTTGGAATGAATTTGCTCTTTTGCACAAAAAGATGAATTGAGTTTATGATGTTGGTTGGTTCATGATACTTGATTCGGCGAGACTAATAGTTGAGTTTATTAATGTGTTGATAAGATTATGATGTATAAATTAGAGTTAGTTCAACAAGTTGTAATGAACTTAAAAGAAGCGATCACAATGAATTAAAAATTTAATTCAGTTTTTTTTTTTTTTTTTAACAAAAAAATTGACTTGCCAAATCATCCTAGCATCTTTTCAATTCTTCCTCTTCCTCTTGCTTCGTTATCACCATCCTCTTCCTCTTTTTGTCTTCTAGTTCATGTTATTTGTTCTTCAAGAGCTTTGGTTATCTTCCTCCACTTGATGGCGTCTATTTCATATTATTTATTCTTGAAGAGCTTTTATTCTTCAGAAATTTGGACGACAAATTTTAAAACAAACCCATCACTAAATTAATTTCAAAACTCAAAAATACTGGGTTAAAATTAAGAAAAGAAAAACCTCATATCCAATCCATATATATTGCGTAAAAATTAATTTCCACATCCAAAGTATTCAATGCTAGCCACCTACATTAATGTCTGTCTTGGGAGAAACTCGAAATATCTTTTGTCTTTTCGATCATGAAATAGCTGAAATTGCAGGAGAGAGAGACGACAGCACGTAGGTTCAATATCAAGGAAGAGAGAGTGTGTCTCTTGGAGACAGAGGATGAGTTTTGCAGCAATGAAACTGGCGGTGAAACCGACAGCGAGAAGGGTGGAAGAGACTGGTTTTGGGCTGGTCCGACCCAAGTGAATATAAATTGAGATGGATTAGCACTTTTTTCTTTTTATTTTTTGGGTCAGTCCCGATCTCCAGCTTTGAGTAGATTGAATCAGAATATATTAGTAACACGCTTTCCAGATTGAATCAGAATACGTAATGTTTCGCCTGTTTCAATTATTTAGACCTATTTTATTTTAATAAATTGTTTTATGATAAAGACCACGCAATAGAAGAATTGCATCCCCATAATCTTCTAATAAGTTGTTCTACGATAGGGGGGACACAAACTCAAAAATAAAGTCTGTATAATCGAATAGATGAATAAGAGTATTAATTATCTAATCAAAAAATTATTTGTAATTGTCTAAGACCTAATTAATACTCAATTGTCTCTGCAGAGCAACTTCTTCATACCTGTTCGTCATGGACATCTCTGCTTCTATCCTCCCAAGTGACAGACCTGGCTGAGCTTCCTACCATCCAATAAATTCTCATTATTGTTTAATAAGAGGAATTATTAAGGAAAATTATTAATCATCCCTGTCAATTATCATACACATACATATTCCGGACCATATTTATTTGCAGTCACATTGATTAATTTTATATCATAATTTTTTATTGATGCAAAAAAGGTTAAAAATATCAAATCAATTTACAATTAAAGCCCTCTTCTTCCTTATAAATAAATCTCACTCCCCTCTTTCATACAATATTTTAAATAACAAAATTATATCCAAGTAATACTACTTCCTGTTAGTTAAGCAAAAGATTTAGTTCCATCATTAATGCCGTCAATATGGGTTCAACCATAGATGAGCTCCCTATGTATCCATGACGTGAGAACCTCATTAAAAGTTATCATCAACACAAAAATCTAATAATTAAGATTTTTGTATTTTACTTTATTTAAAAATGTAAAGTTTTTTCATTGATAATTATGTTATAGATTAATAATAATCTATTTATTTAATTTAATGAACTAATAATTTAATTAATTAATATATTAATAGAATTAGGATGACTGACTTAATTTTAATAGCAGCCCATGTTTATTGAGTTTTTTAACAATGAAAAGGCTATGATAGATTCCTTACAATAATTATCATACAACAACAGTAATATAATCACATAGTCTTGTATATTTTTTCAGAATGAGTTATAGCCAGAAATAGAGATAACTACCATAAAATGGAGTTAAAATTTATGATTAAAATGAAAGTAGCCTATACATATGTAAGACTCCTTGGAAGCATTTTGAACATGGTAGAAAACGATGGCTAAATACATCAAGGAACATAACAAGAGGAAGTGAATGGATCCATAACCGAGTCCATGTTCACCAGAATGAACAATGACTACAAACCCGGCCGAATTCCCTTCCAAGCAACAAATATTACATTGAAGAATTTAGTAATAGATTGAAATATCATTAAAAAAATCTAAGTAGTTAAAAAGTAGAAATTGTTTAGTACAAATTAAAAATTTTAATCAAATCGATCTCCTAAAAAATTCATGGTGCTTTTAGAAATTGAATTTTTTAATTTTTCTGCTTTTTTAAAAAATCAAATAATTTTTTTGGCCATATATGGGTTAAATATTTTAAATAAATGGTATATAGATCCTATTACAAATTAAAGGTAGTGACATTTAAACATTTACTTACGTGCTATAAAATTTTAGATTATGTAATAGCTCAATTAATTTTTAGCATTTCACTATTAATTTTTAATTAATAAATTACATAAAATAAGAAGTACTTTAGAACACTCCTTAAAGAGTATGAGACATTATGTACTCAAATAAGAGTACTTTTAAGTGTTCTATATTAAATTATTAAGTGTGTGTTAACATTATGTCTCTTGTACCTATCTTACATATTATTTTGAGAATTTTTACTTCACTTATATATTTATTTTTTAGTACTACCTTCACATAATTACTCTAAAAAAAATTCTTGCCAACAGTACAATACTGTAATCTAATTATTAAAATTATTATATTTTAATTCAAATAATAATTTTAATCTTATTAAAAATATAAAATTTATTAATTTATATATATAAAAGGTAGATCAATACAGAGAACAGACAAGAAGAAAAACAACTGAAAATTTACTTTTCATCCAAAGGAAAATAGATGATTGTTTTTTTTTTTAACCGAAAAAGAAATAAAAATCAGAAATTTTGAGGGGGCAGGGCGGGAGGGGAATTTCACTACATTGGGTTTCAGATTCACTTCGATTCTGTATAAATAGGATTCTCTCGGTCAGCAATTTCTTAGAAGACTAAAGTCAATAATCAATACAATTCTTTAAGCTCCAAGAATGGCAGCACTTAAGATCACCAAAAAGCACCATAAACACATTAATAACCCTTTCCCTTCTACCCCAAAATCCCTTCCTTTCATTCAGGGAAGTCTCTTTTTCGATCTCGAGACACTACCTTCCCACCAAAAGTACCCAATTGGCAGAGACTTTCAGCTCCTCTGGGACTCCAAAAATGGAGTGTGTCTCTCAATTTCTCACCGATCACAGCCTACAAAATTTATATGGTCTACCGTCGAAGGAGAAGCTTTTGTCTCTGCAGCCTTGGCTGAGACCGAGGTGGAAGAAAGCAGAGGTTCATTTGCTTTCAGAGACAGAAACATACGGTTGGTCTATGACCACCAAACAATCGAAGATATAAGAGTGATCGATCAATTTCAGCACTGGTTGGATGATAGAGATCATGATTTATTATCTAGCTATGAAGGGTTAGATCAGAAAATAGTTTTGGAAGATTCCCAGTTCCCTGTTTTGCTGATCACAGGAAGAATTTTCAATACCCAGAAAAAGAAGAAGAAACAGCAGCTGCCGGACCCTGCCGTTTACAAAGACATAAACCTTGAGTTTAATTGTGCAAGATATTGGGTTCTATTCGACCAAAAGAACCGGCATCAACTTGGTTTTCGAGTGACAATTGAAAGGCCAAAAATTGAGTCCCAACAGAGAGCTTCTCCTATAGCTAGATACCAGCGGTTTAGGCGAAAACTTGGATGGATACGTAAAAAGAGGCTGGGATGGTGCTGGTTCTTCACAAGGCCGAGAGGATTTGTAGCAGTTTCGTCATTAGCAGAGAAAGAAATAGGAGAAACCAAGACTGCAGACTCCATGCATTTCAATAGGGTCTGCTTAACATATTCAAGCGAAAGAAGTGAAAGATTTTATGGTTTTGGTGAGCAATTCTCTCATATGGACTTTAAAGGCAAAAGGGTACCCATTTTTGTTCAAGAACAAGGAATTGGAAGAGGCGACCAACCTATTACTTTCGCTGCTAACTTGGTTAGCTACAGGTAACTTATACTTTGCGAATAAAAACCAGAATCAATTACAAGAATAATAAACATAAAACCTTCTTTTTTCCTTATTGCTAGGGCTGGGTGGTGATTGGAGCACAACTTATGCTCCATCACCATTTTACATGACGTCAAAGATGAAGTCTCTTTACCTTGAAGGATACCACTATTCTGTATTTGATCTCACAAGATCAGATAGAGTCCAAGTACAGGTTTGGTTCCACAGTAGTTGCTTCTAATAGAGAAAAACATTTTATTAATTTTATAGCTTATACAATACCGTATCAGACACTAGAGACTTAAGGGGCCATAACCAGTACCTTGAAAAAATACATGGAAGGTCATGATAATTTTTTTTAATAAAAAGTATAAATTATATTAATAGACACCATAAGGGTGCCAACCCCTATACAAACTATTTACATATTTACCAAGATCTCAACAAGGTCCCCCAAATCATCCATTGAGTAAAAAAGATGACCAAAAGTCAAAGTCAAGGATCTAGAACCATCTGTTCCTAATCCTATCAAAATCCCCCCACATCCTCAACCCCCTCCAAAGCTTTTCTACTCCTCAACTTCCATGTCATCCAGAAAATGGTGCGTGGGGATCATGATAGTGTCCAGGACTAGAATAATTTTCCAAGTATGCCTACTGCCAAGACATTCTTTTCAGCCCAGAAACATCAACTGTAATGCAGCGTGATATTGCATGTAGAATAATTTCAATTACAGTCATGATTTATGAAATCAATTTGTAAACTACTACCTTACAAATTTTTGAGTTCTTTGCTCATAATTTTTTTTAAAAAAAAGAAAATTAGATTTTGAAGGAAAGAAGAGGAAAATGCCATGAACGAGCATATCTTTTAGGCTCATCAAGAGTTAGAACTTTAAAAATCATGGTTTCCTTTTCCTAAACACTAGAACTTGCAGATTCATGGAAATTCAATTCAAGGAAGGATTCTGCACGGTAACTCACCATCTGAGATCATTGAGCACTTCACAAAAAGTGTTGGAAGGCCTCCGGAGCTTCCTGAGTGGATTATATCTGGGGCTGTGGTTGGAATGCAAGGTGGCACAGATGCGGTTCGCCATGTTTGGGATGAACTGAAGACTTACAAGGTTCCCATTTCATCATTTTGGTTGCAGGTAATGCACACTGCATGCCCTGAAGAGAAACGTCTTTTTAGCTTATTGATGTGCACAACTGATGATCCTCGTTTCATCTCAGCAAATAATTTTAACATCTTCACATATCAAACTTGATTAATTTCAACTTTGCTTCCACCAAGTATTTAGCAGTTTAATCAATTGAGTGGCACTTGTTGTGTAGGATTGGGTGGGGCAACGGGAGACACTGATTGGATCTCAGCTGTGGTGGAACTGGGAAGTGGATACCAAAAGGTATGAGGGATGGCGACAGCTTATTAAAGATCTTGGTGCCGAGCATATTAAAGTTATGACATACTGCAACCCATGTCTAGCCCCGGTATTTATCTCCTTGCTCCAAGTTTTCTCTACTAACATTATGGTATAACTATTTCATGACCAAGTAGCCTCTCTAAACTTTGAGAAGGGGATTGCCACTGTTTTTAAAACAATCAATTATTTTTTCTATGCATAGAACTTCCCTTGAACTGAAAGTAGTTCTAAACAAACTAATTATTCAATTGTGACCGGAAAAGACAAAGAAATTGCAACTATGTTTTGAAGCTTTAAATTTCTCTGACAGACGAATGATAAGCCTAACCGGAGGAGAAACCTATTTGAAGAGGCAAAGAAGTTGGACATCCTAATCAAAGACAAGTATGGAGAACCATATATGGTTCCAAATACAGCTTTTGATGTGGGAATGTTGGATTTGACACACCCAGTTGCAACAGGTTGGTTCAAGCAGGTTTTACAGGAAATGGTAGATGATGGAGTCAGAGGATGGATGGCTGATTTTGGGGAAGGGCTGCCTGTCGACGCTACCCTATATTCAGGTTTGAAGGCTTAATTTGTTCTTGATAGATTTGTCAAGGTATTTGTGCAGGTAAAAAAGTTAATTCCCATTCCTAAAAATTTGGATAGCTTCCAATAGCAAGGATTTTTGTCACCTCCAAAATATGCTTTGTTATTGACCATGTCTTGATTTGTGCTTTGCTGTTCTATAACTCGTCAAGTTTCTGGTAAATTTTAGTATAATTATAATTTTCATTTTCTTTCTTGCATAAATGATTAATACTGTGTTTATTTGAATTTCTAGTGACTGCTAACGAGGTAGGAGCTCTTATTTCAGGTGAAGATCCTATTTCAGCTCATAACAGATATCCAGAGTTATGGGCCAAAATAAACAGAGAGTTTGTTGAAGAATGGAAAAGCAACCATGCAACTAAGGAAGGAGAAGAACCAGAAGATGCTTTGATCTTCTTCATGAGGGCTGGTTTCAGAGAGAGTCCCAGATGGGGTATGTTATTTTGGGAAGGAGACCAAATGGTAAGCTGGCAGGCTAATGACGGTATTAAGAGTGCTGTTGTTGGCCTATTAAGCAGTGGACTTTCTGGGTATGCCTTTAATCACAGTGATATTGGAGGCTACTGTTCAGTAAATTTACCAATTATTAAGTATCAGAGAAGTGAAGAATTGCTTTTAAGGTGGATGGAGCTAAATGCTTTCACCAGTGTTTTCCGGACACATGAAGTAAGTAAACCTGAATTACTATCAGTTATGTTATCTATCATTTTTCCCATAACAAGAAGTAGAGAGATATACATTCTTCAACTTCTCTAAGCAATTAATACCATGTGCAATATAGACATACTATCTGCTATAAAGCCTATTAGCTCCATGGGCAATACTTATAACTAGCAAGTCTATTATCACCTGTGAATATGTAAAGCTTTTCGTATAAAATCAGGATATATATATATATGTGTGTGTGTGTATTTGTATATATACATATACCAGAAAACAAGACTCAAGTTTAGGTTTTTAGTGAAAGTTAATAGGTTGACAGTAAATTACATTTCTGAGTTTTACTTAAAAAAGTAAACTGTAATGATATTTTTGAAGAGTTTAGATATTCCTCACTGGCAGGGAAACAGACCTACGTGCAACACTCAATTTTACTCAAACGAGCAGACTCTTAACCATTTTGCACGATTTGCCAAAATTTATACCGCTTGGAAATTCTACAGAATCCAACTTGTAAAGGTGATAATAAATTGATGCTATGTCCACTTTTTTCCAAGAAAATTCACGGATCTAAACTCTCTCTTTTTCAATAAAACAGGAAGCAGCCCAGAAAGGCTTGCCTGTTTGCCGCCACCTATTTCTACACTATCCGGATGATGAACGGGTGCATAGACTGAGTTACCAGCAATTCTTGGTGGGTAGTGAGATCCTAGTGGTGCCTGTCCTTGATAAGGGCAAGAAGAATGTCAAAGCATATTTTCCAGTAGGAGAAACTTGTTCTTGGCAACACATATGGACAGGAAAGTTATATACAAAACAAGGTTCAGAAGTTTTGGTAGGAGCTCCAATTGGTTATCCTGCTGTATTTGTAAAATGCGGGTCTATCACTGGAGAAACTTTTCTCGCAAACTTGAGAAATTTTGATTTACTTTAAGAATATGACTTGTAACCTAATGTTTGTCTAATGTAGAGTAGCATTTCTGCTTGTCATGGGGCTTCCATGCAGACCTAGAATAATGGTAAAATCAAAACTAAATGAAATCAAAAGACGATCACACGTAGACCCAAATTCAAGCCCTTACTGAAGTGTCCTCTCCTCCCCGAGTCATTTAATCAAACAACTACCGTGCATTAAAATTCTGGTTCTAAAATCTATTCAAGTTCAATAGACGATGGTCCATAATCAGCTGCAACACTGAATTCCATGACAAATCAAATCAACCAATCATAAAGAGAACCTAGTTAGACAAATGCCAAAAGAAACACCTCATCGGAAGATACTAAACAAACATTGAAGAAGAGGTATACAAAGTATCTGCATATGTTAATGGAAGATCACATTTCCAGTTGAGAGCAGTAACTAACCTTAGAATCAAAGGCTGAGCGTGAAGCTTGAAGATGAATTAGCAAACGAGACCTCGTCGTTACTAAGCTCAGCTGGTTCTTCCCTGTGGATTCCCAAAGGGATTAAGCTTAACAAAGTCCTATGGAGCTAAGCAAACGAGAAGAACTCTCATCGTTGGAACAGAAGATGCAGTGAAGAAGAAAAGCCAGAGATTGAAGTGATTGGATCATGGCTGAACTTTTTCTCTGTAAGCTTTCAGTTTCTGAATTGATTCGTATAGTTTCGCGGGATATTCTCCCACTCGTGGGGTCTACAGTATTAATTTATATCCGACCTCAGCAAATCCAAACGTCCTTCGTACTTTTTTCACCTGATTAATCATTGCTATTTTATTCATTAATTAAATTATCAATGATAATTACTCCTAACCATTAATTAGTAATAGTGATTAATATATTTCTAAAAGAGAAAAATTGTTAGACATAATAAATTGTGTGTACAAATTCATTTGAGTGAATATAAATAAAAATTTTATTGATTTATATGATATTAATAAGTCATCTAAATTATCACATCATTTTATAAATAATTACATTGTATATTAATTAGTATGAAAATTTGTTGAAACTATATTCTTTTACCATGATTTTGCATTAAATAAACATAATGATATTGTATATTAATTATTTTTTAATTTGATGATTAATATTTTCATCATTTTTTTCATTATAATATAAATTTAAATAGTGCAGTGTTAATTTTTATGTATTTTTATTATAAAATTGTATTACGCATATATTTATTAAGAAATATATAAATTAATTATTAAAATATTGTGATAAAAATGTCAATATAAGTGAATAAAAACTACTTTTCAAAATATTTTATCTTAAATAGTAAATTAAGAATTTAATTCTTAAACTACTATATCATAGTTAAGTCCACAAAATTCATTATTATTTGGTAATTAAACTTTTAAAATTGTTTGAACTAATAATATTTTTATATAACTATAAAAATTTTGATAGAAAAATAGTTTTTTTTTGCTTTACCCATATTTTATTTTTAATTTTACAATCAAGCATGTAATGCCAAATTTTTTTTTCTATTCCCATATTTAGAAATTAAAAAGTTATATGTCTATCATAAAAAAAATTAGTGTGTGGATTATTTGACAAATCAAACTTTTAACCAGCCCCTAAACTACATCATATACAACACCCTCTTATAAAAATTCTAAACATCATTAGAGAAGATCTCATCAGAATTTCATGACCTAAAATATATAATATCTATTTTTTTTTTGGTATTGTTGTGCTTGTCTCTCCTCTTGTATCCCAAAAATAAGGTACAAGTACCACTTAATTAAAAAAAAAAATTATAAATTTAAATTAAAAATAAAAGATTTTAACCCAAAACTAAATTATAATTTTATTTCATTTTTTTCTAATTAAAAAATTACAGTTTTATTTATTTATTTCTCTCATTTAACTTGTAGCCAATAATTTATTACTCATAATACTAAAAATTAACTTATTTTGTAAAGGTCCTTAACTTTAAAGTAAATAAATTTATAATTTAAATGCAGAAACGAATAATAATGTTAAAATTTATATTTCTTATATAATAAATTGAATTGTTCAATAGGATTACGGAAATATATTTTCTACGTGGTTCATAAAAGATAAACGGTAATTAAAGAAAAATAAATAAATAAGTATGCTATGAAAACTTTTGCTAATCGAAGGGAGTTCGAGAGGTGGACTGCTCACAACTTTCTTCTTGATCTGAAATAGTGAACTACACTAGTTCAGTAAGAATATCACACTAATTACTGATACAAAAAACTGAATGTTGGTAAAAATAAAAAAAATAATTAATAGAGCCATTTCTTTAAGTAAATATATTTATCTTTAAAATTTTTTATTCGATACTTACAGTTACGATTTTTTCCAAAATCAACCTATGAAGACACTTAACCAAATGATATTTCAATTACGTACATACGATCAGCAATCCTTCCTTTTTAACCTACTTATTGGGACATCTGAGATCCATAGGGATATTTCTCTACTCGTGGATCCAGTATCAAGATTTGACAATTAACCCGACCGTCCTCATATCTTGTCCGGTAATGGGTGCCAAAAAATACCATTGTCTCGATACCCCGTCCGATATGAAAGTGAACCATATCTCCCAAAACCTTTGTGATATGGGACTTCTCAGCCCCGTAGTCCACAATAGAGTTCCCTATATACCGAGTTCGTCCACCTTTTCCCAGGATATCCAGTAAGCTTTCATTTGTTTAGATTCTTATCATCCAAACAACCACTAAAACATACTAATATCTCATTTTATATTTACAGATTAATTCAAATAGTACTTAAACGAGCGATATAGTTTAGCATAGTCAAATAACCAATAATCAGAATACCAAATAAACAATGTAGTAGAAACCAAATAACCAAATAACCGTGAAAACCATAAAAACCATCAATTCAATTACGCACAGTATAATAGCAAGCAAATATATGCAGTACAAGAAAATAAACAAGGAATCATGACAAATGTAGACTAATCAGTTCTTACTCCACTAGTGACCTATAATATTTTTAGGGTTCTTCTAATTTTTTCACGAAATACACAATTATCGATTATTAATCCTCAATTTACTGTAATCGAGAATAGGTTGAATGATCCTTAACTGGATCGGTATTTTAGAAACAACGTGTTATCTACTATGTCTCCTAATGGGTTCTAGGTTTCCTGAATTTTTCATGTAGGAATCCAAAATATTTGTCACGTACTTAAAAATACCCAAAAAAATTCAAAATCGATATTAAAAGCCTTTTCTAGCTAATTTTAAAGTTCTGGCACAACGATGGCGTCGTACTCCAGCGCCGGTTGTTCGCCTCAACCTAACCGGTTTTAACCAGTTTTATATGTATCCTACGAAAAAATACGGTAGGGAATCTCAATTGGTTAGAATATTAAAAAAATCGAACCTACCGGCAGGGGGGTCTTCGGATGCGGCGATTCTGCCAGTTCTCCTTCGTGACTGGGGTTTCTTCTTCGATTAACCTGCACAAAAAATGATGGTGAACACAACAGTCAGAAAATTGTGGGAAACGGGAAACGGGAAGCGATTCATCAGAGGGGTTTTAAGGTTTCGGCCGCAGCGACTCTGTCGGACTTTGCACACGGTTTCTAGCTCACCCTTTGTCTTTTTTACTCCTATATGGCCACATGGAGACTCAAAATCGAATTCCAAGCGGGTAGTGGATAATTTTACCTTTTTTGGCAGTCGACGATGGCTCCGGTGCAGCGGCGGTCAAAGGTCGGTCTCCTTCTCCGGTGGGTGGTTCTTCTTCTCCAGCGAGGGCAGGTGCGGCTAAGGTTAGGTTTCCCCTGTGACACAATGTTTATATACTTATTTTACGTCGATTTGGGCCATCCATTTGCGTCGATATAGAATGAGAAGAGTTATCCGATCGTTACCTGTTTAGGCTGATTGCGTAGGCGAATATGGACTGTTCAGCACAATTGATTTCGTCCGTCCGATCGCTATTAAGGAGAGAATGCATCTGAACCGTTCACGCGCGCGGAATTGAATCTGGGCTGTTGGATCGCTTGGCACACGAATCGCCCGCGTAGCGCCGATGTCAGCGTGTTTTGCCACGCAGTGTACTTTAATTCACTATGACCGCTGACTGTGTCGTCCCATTTGGCCGAATTTCTCCTTTTTGCATTTTGATTTTTTATTTCTAATTTTTCTTTCAAAACATTCATCGAACTTAAAATTTCACCACTTTTCTTCCAAATTGCTTTCAATTTTATTCATAACCTATTTTTTTCAAATAATTTAATAAAATTAAATTAAAATAATATTTTTTTAATTACATATATATATTTTATAAGTTAAAAAATTTATCCCGAATTAAATTTTAGACCTAAGTATTACATTTTTTCTTTTGGCTTATAAAGCACATAAAAACTCTTTTATCGATGTCCTTTTAAATTATTTTATGAATAAAAATCATTTTACTAAACAATCATATTTATATAGAATTAAAAGTAAAACAAAAACACACTACATAAATATATTTTTCACTTATTTTTCATATCCTAAAAATTCATGAAATATGTGAACTTGGACCATTTATATACTAAAATGGGAATTTTTGGGTTAATCTAATATAATCATAAATTAGAAATGCAATAATTTTATATTAAAAAATCAAATTATTTTACATTTTGGACTTCCACCCTTTACATCCCAACACACAGCATCTCCACCAGTTTCCCAGTTCTCTTTCCTAAATGCAACAAGGTGGCCAAGAAACTACTCTGCTTTTTACCTTTATAAGACCATGAGACATGCTCCTGCGAGTTTCGATTAAATATCTAGCTGCTCAACATTGATCCTATTTGCAGAACTTTGGATGAGCTCCTTCCGAACATCGACCTAGAGAACAGAAAATACAAGAATCTATTATATTTGAACATGATCAGAAAAAAACAAAAGCTCAGTTTATGAAGTACTTCACTGATTTTGGCAGATTTTACATATAATTCCTAGTATTTGTCGGGAAAATTACAGTTTCATGTGTGCTGTTTGACTTTTTTTATGACAAATAAATACCTGTTATTGGTTCTTTTGATCAAATCATTAAATTTTTAAGACTATTATCCTATATTTTCTTTTCCCCAATCTTGATTTGTTTAATCTTGACTTCCAACTTCCACATATTAGTGTTTAAAAATCTGAACACATGCATTTGGACTATTATCCCAAAAAATCAGAGAGATTGATCCGCAAGAAAATCAAACAGGGATTAAAACCGTAAATTTGCCCATAATTATAACATTCGGCCTCCATACACTGCCTAAATATTTGATCTTCCAGGAAAGCTGTCGTATAGCTTTCATCAAAGAAAATAATACTGCTTAAGTTTTATGATAGGCAAACTCAACCACAAAATAAGTGCATGGTCACAGATTGACTTACCCGAGCGCCCATAAGGGATGAGAAAATAACATTTGCCTCTGCTGCATCCTCAACCATGAGTTGCTTCAGCAGCCTTTGCTCTGGGTTCATTGTTGTTTCCCATAGTTGTGCAGGCATCATCTCTCCCAAGCCTGCAATGCATCAAAGGAAGATCTTTCCGTGGTAAGTACCTTCATCATACCATCCCTTATAAGCAAGTTCGTATGAGCTAAATAACAGCATTACTTTCAAAGTTCGACAAGATTGTCCTCAATAGTCGAGCAAATATGTAAGAGTCATCTCTTCATCAGACATAAAATGGAGCACCAGAGTAATTGTTAATGATTCTCAAGGGTTCATTTGACAGAATTGTGGGAAAGAAGAAACCAAGTTGTTCCTACTAAACGGCAAAATCCAGCTACTGATCCGCAAGGTACCCAAAGTGATTCTGATTGCAAATTGAGATGACAGTAAAATTTGTTTTGAGAAATCAGTTTCTACTTTCAATGTCTAATTTGGTGAGACAATGATGGAGACATAGAGCACGCTCAAGCATTTTGAACCAGTGTTAGGAATGTAAACCATTCACAAAAACTGACATTCTCTTTCCTTTTTTTGTCAAAATGAAGGATAAATTTGGTTTCAGTTCCAAGGTCGAAAATAATCAGGGAATAAATGTCAAATTTATCCAACGGTAAAATTCGGCATAAATCAAGAACACGTGTTCCGACCTAGTCACTTGATCCCTACAACTATTAACAAACAGGAAGAAGGATTCGGACTTTCACCTTTGAATCTCTGTATGTGGTATGATGCATTTTGTGGGAAGGAAGACTGCAGCTTTTTAAGATCTGCATCGTCATAGCAATAGTATACCTGTTTTCCTCTCTCAACCTGGAAATTTCAGCAGAGAATGAATAAAAGGTAAATTAAGGGCTGATAATTAGAATAAATACTATCTGACACCATCATTACTATAAACAGACCTTGTAAAGGGGTGGAACACCAACGTAAATGCAACCCTCATCAAATAAGGCTCTCTGCAAACATGAACTACCATGTCAATTTAAAAATTATATGTGTTTTACTGAGCACTTGAAAGCAGGTATTTGAGATAATAAAAGCCATAAAATTGGGAATAATTTACCATCACCTCCTCTATAAGTAAAAGAAAAAAATCCTTTGCCTACCTGATATCTGAAGAAAAATGTCAATAGCAGAGTTCTGATGTGAGCACCATCAACATCGGCATCTGTTAATATGATAATTTTATGATAACGTAGATTTTCCTTTTTAAAATCCTCCCCCTGAAATGAAGGGAATTCAGCACATGAAGTTATTAGCAAAAAGGGAATCAGAAACCATTAAAATGAGATTACCTTTACTCCAAGTCCAAGAGCAAGAATAAGATTTTGAATTTCTTCGTTCTTGTACATTGCTGTCTCATCCTTCCTCTCAACATTCAAAATTTTACCCCTCAGCGGGAGAATAGCCTGCATCCACTCACAGCAGTTATACTCTGTAGGGATAGAAATCCAACTACAACTCTATCAAGTTCACATAAATATAATTTCAATCATGAAGTTGATCTCATGCAAAACATACTATGTATCCAAAACAGTAGGAAGACCAATTGTCAGAATAAGCCAAATGTCAATAAAACAACCACACTGGAAGAGACTTGATTGTAAGTTGTAAATAAAATTTGTGGATCAAGAAAAGAAAAAAAGGCCAAGACATTGGCAACGAGGTTACTCCATTGATCACAAGATTATTTCATTGCACTTTTCTTCCAAACCTGACTACGGACTTAGTCTTCAGCAATTCCTTTTGGAAGGTGAAAGTTCCCTCCAAAGTTAAACTCTTTCTTGAGGTTGTACTTTGTATGGTGATATTTGGTTGATTAACAAAATATATGTTACAAGCACACAGTTGTATAGGGCTCTATCTACTGACATTTTTGGAATGTGCAATCAAAGTTCTCATTCTAGCAGTCATTCATTTCTGCACCCTGATGTGGCATGTCAAACCTAGAATACAACTTTGTTGGTTGAGAGTCTTGGGTGGTCGAGCATTTTCAATTTTATCCATTTTTGCAAGAGTGAAAAGGGAGCAAAGAGCACAGGGCCTTGTGGAAACAGATCTTTCTGCTGGTCTTGGGTTCTGTGGTTGGAACATGGAGCTTAATGCAAGGACCTTCGCTCAATTTTCTCTTATGCTTTTTATTATGCTTTCTAGGATTGTACCTCATCGTCCCTCCTTGTATTATATATATTTTGGATAAATTTTAGTCTTTTGTTTAAAGTAAAAGATTACTTCATGGTATATTTGCCTGAAAAAATCGACCAGGATGTGCATTGTCTTTTTAAACAAAATGCTTATGTCAAAAGGGAATCTAAAAAAAGAAACAAGTGTGCCAGATACACATTAAAGTCAGTCAGGGCTTGCAATATGACAGAAAAATAGGATAAAAGGTTCAGCGAAAACATTCAAAGAGCTCAAAACTTAAAAATATAAAATTAAGTTCACCAAGAAATCTTTTACTAACAACAGATTTCAAGAAAGAAAAACTTGCTACCATTCTGTAAAATTCAATAACAGATTCAGCAAACCCACCAGAAGCTAACAATTTACCTGAAAGCGCCTATCACGCCCTTGTTTTGCACTTCCTCCAGCAGAATCTCCTTCAACTATAAAAATTTCTGAATATGTTGAAAAGAAGAAATTAAAGATAGGTGATAATGATAAAATGTTCACTGTTTGCATCCAAATAAACACAACTTATCATAGTTAAATTATAAAGTAAACTGTACTAGGTAATCCAAAAAGTCATCAGATAGGTATCTTACTTTCATATTTCAAAAAACTCTACCATGTCTAGAAGATCTTTTTGAAATAATTAACTTGGTTTGAAGAGTTAGTGCATTATTGGCACATTAGAACATTTCTTGGACCCAATCTAGAGACATATCTCTTTTTTTCTTTTGAGGAAAATCTGGGGACAAATCTTGGTCAATAGAAAGAGGTTCTTTGTTTTGACAACAAATCATGATCAGTGTAATTATCTCTTCAAACCCTTTTCCCCCAAAAGAACAGATAAGAGTTACTATCTCTCTTGGAGAAAATCACATTTATACCCCAATGTAATATAACAATAAATCGGAAGACCCTTTGGGTTTAAGAAATTAGATCCCTTCACAAAACAAAAAGACTTTCTACAATAGGAATAGACGCAAACAAAAAAGTTTTGTTCTCAAAAAGTATCTTTTGAAATGGGGTAAAAGAAACTAAAGAAAAGCAGGGGTAGAAAATCTTCAAAACATTACCTTGTTTTGACCATAAATAAAGCATAATCCATCCAAAACAAAATGCAACAGATTACACTAGATTACGTTCTCTAGTTGTCTTGTTCAAGTCAATCCATAAACAATGTTCTCAAACATGCATCCAAAATAGTCAGGATACTGATTAAATTCATTCCAGCATAATTTGAATGATAAAATCTAAATAGAGTTATGAAGATAGGTAAACAAATATGAATCATTCTTAAATTATCATGTAAAACCTCAGGATCCTGAATCTTTTATACTTATGTTTCTTCATAAAAAATAATTGATTTTTCATAGAACGGAGAGCAAAATATACCAGATTCCTCAGGATTCGTTGATGAACAATCAGCCAATTTGCCAGGAAGTGATGACGATTTTAACACACTCTTTGATCTAACCAACTCCCTTGCTCTCTTTGCTGCAGGAGCTGCCTAAATATATAACCAAAATCCATTCGGGAAAAATTTTAATTAGCTCATCTTAACCACAGACATTTGCTCCTCGAAAAAATTCACCTTACAAAGCATAAAGAATATTGAACAAACAGAAGATGGATATGCATGTGAACAGAATACCTTGAAGGCATTCAGAGACTTTGAAAGGATTGAATCAAGTACATCTGGATGTAACTCCAAGTACTCAGTAAGATACTCCTGAACTGATTGATCAACCATTCTTCTTACCTCCGGATTGCCCAATCTTGTCTTTGATGAAAACAGAAAAGCCACCCATGAAAAATATTAGAAACCAAGTAAGAAGCATGTTAGGAGAAATCCTTACAGATCAAGAGTATTATTATCCATGAAAATTTAGGCTTGAAGGAAAAATACCTTTGTTTGCCCTTCAAACTCGGGATTTGGAACTTTGACAGAAACAATGCATGTCAATCCCTCCCGTACATGCTCACCACTTAAATTGATCTCTTTATCCTGGATGGATAGAAATAATAAGTTATGATTATGAAAGCAACACCATAGTTGCTCGATGCGAGTTCAAAGAACCCACCTGAACCTTTCTTAATTCTGACAATCCATGTAAATAAAATCACTCCAAAGCTGACACTATATAAAAACTAGTTCCATATGGAAGAAACCTGAAACCTATTCAAGCTTTAACTTCTACTCGGATATGCCAGAAGAGAGTACAGCAGTAACACAATGCTTTAATGTCCTCTAGTTAAGATAAAAGTAATCCTGATTTCATTGTCAAACAGCCAAGCATCTAGCAATAAAACATTACTCCTATTGTACTCAATTTGAACCTCCAGAGTTGATCAGCAGATTGATGAGATAAAGTGTTACACAATAGCACAAACACTCAAAAATCACTAATACCTCACTCCTTACCAACCAAAAAAAACAGAGAAAAAGAAAACTGAGATGAATGACTGGAAAAGAAAATCATCGAGAGTAGCTTCAATAGACACACCTTGATAACTTTCGATTTCTTTCCAAGGCTATTCAGAGTTCTGGTTAATGAGGCCTTTACACCGTCTATGTGTGTGCCGCCATCAACAGTACGAATACTATTAGCATATCCAAGCATTGTGTCTGAATATGCATCCGAGCACCTAGTTATTAACCGGACAAGGCAACTTAAATAGTATCAATCAAGCACGAATATATTTAATAGATATCTCAATTCTGGATGTTAACATTCTCTTTGAAATAAAAGATGCAAAGGTGCACTTATGTTGATGCTAAATTATATGAAATATAGTGAACAATTTGATTGAGCTTCGGTCCTTGCACGAGTACCAGCTGAAGCAAAACAACTTTTACAAGGCATAGTTTTTTATAGAAGTTCTTGTGTTTAGTAAAAAACAATTTTAAAACTAACTGGATATAAATTTAGAAAGAAATCAACTTTCTTTTGAGACAGAATATTATCTAAACAACCTTCTTTTGTTCCCTCAAATCCCTTATCCTCTACAAAATTCTAATGTAAACATTTGAGTCTTTTTTAAGTTGAGCTTTTGGAATGCCATGAAAAGCCACTGAAAAAGTGGAATAAAAAGCTAAATTCAACAGACGAGTAAAAAGTGTCTTAAGAGGGCCATAACAAAAATAAAAAACATCTTCAGATAGAACCATGAAGTAGCTTTCAGCAAGTAGACCACAAACAAGATTTCCTTCTAGTTGGAAAAAGGAGACCAATACTATTCATCAATGCATATAGACAGATAAAGTTACTTACCATTGAAGAGCTACATCGAGTAGGATTCCATTTACTTCCTTTCTGAAACTCAGGACATCATGTAGTGGTTTCTGAATCAAAGAATTTCAAGTCACCACTCATGCAAATATCACCCAAATGTCAAATTCAAAGACTAAAATAAGAATGTGTTTTTTATCTCTTTATTTTAACTTTACTTGTGTGTTCGTGATATTCTTTTCTGTGTTTATTTAAGGAGGCGATCACATTATCTAGCAATCCTTTTTGGAACTCTTGGCTCATAACCTTTCATAGAATTTGTTTTTTTTTTTTGAGATAAAAATGAGTAGTAATATTAAAAAGAGCACCGAGAGGGCGAACCCATGTACAAAAGATACTATTTACAGATCAGTAAGTATATCCACAATGTGACCAAGATCATCAAAAGAGTTGAAGTTGCGACCAAGGATGATGGAGCCAAAAAAAAATGAAGCCATCTATCCTTAATAATAACAAAATTTGTTTCTTTGCCCTCAAAAATTCTACAATTTCTTTCTTTCCAAATAATCCATAGTATTATTAAAGGAATGACCCTATACCACCTTTTACCGGAAGTGAATCATTCCCAAGCTAACAATTCACCTTTTACCGAACTGGCCATAACCCAAGAGACACCAAGCAGCTTATATATCATTATCCATAGTTCATAGGATGTTGGGCACAAAAGAAGAAGATGGTTACAAGATTCCATATTCTGCTTGCATAAAACACACCAGTTAGCCAACATAAAACCTCTTCTCATAAGGTTGTCAAGTGTGAGAATAGAATCCATAACTGCTTCCCAAGCAAACACCGAAATTCTGGGTAGAATGGAACTATTCCATATGATTTTGTAAGGAAAAACAGCAGCAATGTGATTTTTATCCATCAAGTTTCTGTATAGAGATCTGACAGTAAAAGAACCATTTTTGCTTAAATTCCATCTTAATTTATAAGTTTCAGTAACAATTTTGACATTTGTAAGGATTGGGAGAAGATATTCATATTCTTCAATCTCCCAGTCTTTCAAATTCCTGGTGACAGCCACATTCCAAGACAGAGGATAGCTGATTCCATAAACATTTTCCAGAATAATATCTTTGTTTCTTGCGATAGCAAAAACGTGAGGAAATTGGCCTTGGAGACTCATTTGACCACACCAAGTATCTTGCCAAAACCGAATTTTGTCACCTTCTCCAACAATCCATTTGGAATTATTTAGAATCATTTTACTAGAATTCCAAATACTCTTTCATAGGCTGAGGCCAAACGTGTTCTTCTCCAAAACAGCAGGGTCATACACATTGCTTACAAACCATTTGCATATGATGACTTTCTTCCAAAGACTGTTATTTTCATTCCAAAACCTCCAAATCCACTTACTATGTAAAGCTTTGTTGAGGCCAGAGATGGATTTAATGCTTAACCCGCCATCTTTCTTTGATTTCTTCAGTTGCTCCCATTTAACTAGGTGGATCTTTCTGTTAGAGTCATCATCGCCCCAAAGAAAACGACATTGAATGGCCTCAAGTTGCTTAACAACTTTCTTGGGTATAGTGAGCACCAAGAGATAGTAGATAGGAAGGTTAGATAGGGTGCTATTGATTAAAGTAAGCCTCCCATCTTTGGAAATATATTTACTTTTCCAGCATGCCAATTTATTTTGAAAAGCGTCAATGACTGGCTTTCAACTTTTGTTGTCTTTATGTTTGGCGCCAAGAGGAACACCCAAATATTTTATAGGGAATTGGGCAGATTTACATCTGAGTGCTTTGGCAAGGATACCATCAGAATTCATCCCAAGCATTATCAATACAGATTTTTCCATGTTGATTTTGAGGCCGGAGACTACTTGGAAACAAAGAAGAATGCATCTAAGATGAAGGATATTCTTTACATCCGTCTGCCAGAAAAACAGACTGTCATCCGCAAAAAATAAGTGAGAAAATTTAAGTTGATGGTCATTTTTTCCCACAAAGAGACCTCTCAACAGCCCCGAGTCTCTAGCTTGCATTACAAGTGTGTTGAGTGCTTCTATAACAATAATAAATAATAAGGGGGCAAGGGGATCACCTTGCCTTAAGCCCCTAGAAGTTTTAAATAATTTCGACAGGCCACCATTAACCAAAATAGCAAACATATGGTTGTAATACATTCCTTGATCCAGCATCTCCATTTGAACCCAAAACCAAGGTTCTCAAGCATATGATCAATAAAATCCCAAGAGACGTGGTCAAAAACTTTTTCCACGTCTAATTTATATAAAACCCCTCTTTTTTTATTTCTAATAACATCATCAACCACCTCATTTGCCATAAGGATAGCATCCGTAATTTGGTGCCCATAGACAAAAGCTTGTTGGTTTTCCCCGATGATCAAACCGATGACTTTAGACAATCTACTTGCCAGCATTTTTGAGAGTAGCTTGTAAACACAACCAACCAAACTAATAGGGCGAAAATCTTTAATGTTGGATGCTTTTTTTTTTTTCGGAATCAAGACCATAAAAGTGGAATTAATTGATTTGACAAATGCAGAACTTTAATGAAAGTCATTGAAAAATGACTTTTTATTCATAGAATTTGGTTTTGATTACATGTTTTTGGAAGGTGAAAGTTTCCTCAAAAGTCAAAGCCTTTATCTGGAGTTCAATACCTAACAGGACTAACATTAATTATTTGCTACAGATGTAACAACCATATAGAGGCCCTTCCTCATTTGACATGCTCTCAAACTTCGGAGAAAAATAGAATTTACATTTTGAGTTGTGAGGTGGCATTCTAGCTCTAACATTTTTTCTGGTCTTTGTGAAGTGTTGGATTTTTCCTCACACTGTAAGGATGTTGTTTATTTCCTATTTGATGGATTCTATGAAGAGTAAGGAACATAAATCTTTGCAGAGAGTGCCCTTTATGCTAAGGAGTTAGGTTTTGAGGACGGAACATAATGCTAGGATCTCTAACCAGCAATTCGTCCTCCATGTACTGTTTGGGATAGAATGATCTTTATACACTCTTTTTGGGAGATGTATTGTACATTTTCAGGGTTGCCTATGTCAATATGCAAAAGCGTGGTGACGCTATTTTATATTAATGTTTTCCCCTTTTCCTTGTTTTGTACCTTGTTTGCCTTTCCTTGGTAGGAGGATGCTTATCGCCCTCTCTTTTTCTTCTTTTCTTATCACCAAAAAAGATCATAGACATGATAGAGACAGAATGGCAGTGATGACTATGATTGTCAAGATAGGATGGTGATTGCCAAGACAGGATGGTGGTGAAGATACAGGTCTTAACAAGGTACACCAAAGATGGGTGAGGCAATGGCTTTATTGTGGAATGTTAATGAGATGTCAAAATTGGTAATACAATGTACTATCAAAAAGTAAGACAAAAATATGCTATTGAATCACCAAAAGATAAAGTTAAAAGATAGATGTTGAAAAACTTTCAGCATTATGCTAGTGTTAGTAAGATTATCAAAAGAATTCTTTTATAGAAAGTGCCAGATTTTGAATGTCCCACCCAAATGTTCTAACATCATTAAGTCCTCAAATTGCAGTTTCCAACAACCAATGATTAATACACCTCAAGTGCAAGCCTTGTTGAGGGTGCTTTTATGGATACTATTCATTTAATCACTACCATCACCTAATCCTTCATTCTCCAATGTGCAAGGTTAACTAGT